TAAATTGTTGACAAATCTTCCTCCTTCCCTTCCTCACTAAATGGTCTGGCTTGGCTTACTGTTGGCCACTGTCAGCTAGAATAATACAAATGAAAGTGATGCTTAAGATAATTACACGGTAACATGATGGTGGTTAAAGTTGGATCCGGCCAAAAATTGTAGGTTCCAATATAAGAGTATTCACTTTGTAGTTGTACAAATAATAATAATAATAATAGTTAGGTGTGTACATAATCTATCCTGTTTATATGGGGGCCGATATTAGTTAACGAATTAATAAGGGATGGTTGTCTAATGCATTGGCAAAAGTTTAGGGTATGAGATTGTAAATTTGAGTTTATATCTAAAGTTGTGCCAATGTTATTGTACAAAGATAAGTTTGTATCATTTTCGTAACGATTTTAGGACTGAAGGGATTCAACCTCATAATTATACGTGACATAGCATTAAATGTGCTCACGTAACATTAACAAAACAAAGCACGTGATCAAGAATCCTCTAGCAAAGCTTTTTTAACTAGTTAAGTTAATTAGAGGTTCGGTAATAAATGAAAAAGATTGGTTCTCTCTATGACCGAACTCATCAGTAAGTTCAGCTAAGCAATGATTAAACTCAACTTGTACCAAGCCAAGTTCATCAAAGTGTTCGGCAAAGCAATTGAAGAGATCGGTTTGTGCTAAACCAAATTCGTTAATCTGTTCAATAAAAATCAAGTGTGTTCGGCATTTGATATGGTCGAGCTGTTTTAGATAATAGACAGAAGGATAAAAATTCGTCTATAACTTAGGTAATCAAGATAAGCGAATCAGAGAAATTGAAGATATCATGAGAAAATAAATAGAGAAATATCAGTAAATTTCCAAATCGAATCACTGAATTAGAGGAAGGTGTGCCACCTAAAATCAAGAATTACGGAAATTCTAAGAGGATGTCCAACTATAAAAAGTAAAAACACACAAAAAGAAAGGTACGCTGAACTCTGTTGGTCTTAGTGCAATTCTTTCTGTTTCATTACTGACTTAAGCATCGGAGTGCATTCGATCGAATCATTTCGATCTTGAACAGTTTGTTTGTTTTGCGGGCAAGAGATTAGGAGATTGTTCAGACTTTTTTATCAGAAATCATATCACAAATTCACGTGTAGATGTATCACTAATTTTTTGCCTCTAGAAGGACTATTTTATTGCATTATGATTAGTTCCCTCACTTGGGGATGGTGCAACTATTTTTTAATACTGTAAGCTAAAGAATGTGTAAATTAATTCTTGGCTGCTTATCACTACAAGTGTTGCGTGTGGGGAAACGCGTTTGGTTTGAATTGGTTGCTGCCCCTACAATGTCCCCACCGTCTCTTGTATGACTAGAGCAAGAACAATGGATATGCATCACGTCCCTTGTCTTCCCTGACCTTATACAATTCGCTGTTTTTGTTTTCTTCGTCTTTTTGAGACTAATGTTAGTTAGATTTTAATTGCGGTTGTTAGGTTAGATTAGTACTATGCTGAAATATTAGATGAGGTCCACGATTACGCTCATAGCAGTAATGTATTATGTTAGTAAATTTGGTTTAAATAAAATATTAAAATTCAGTTCAAATAACATTATTTTACTATAATTCATTAAAAATCCAAAAACATTAGATTCAATTAAGTCTAATTAGCAACATTTCTTTTTAATGTTGAATTTCATCTTTAAAGACATTAGATTCGTAATTTGTAGTCCTACATCAGGTGAGTAGGAGGGAAAAGCAAATGAAAAAGGAAGAAACATTGCATGATTTTCCTCAAGTTTCTACCACATGAACGAAAGTGCTTTAGATGAAAAAAAAAATGAAGGATTATGAAAATGCATATCATTGGAGGACCAATCTTAACTTTCATTCGTGTGGTGGAAAAGTTAATTCCAAAGTACTATCCTACCAGCACAGGGTCAAATCAGCCGTACAAGTAAAATTTTCAAACTCCCGACCTTTATGTCTACTGGAAGGTTCTACTGGAGTACTGTTGTCAATGTATTTAATCAGATCAGATACAATAGAATCAATTCAGGGGGCAGCAGCCACTAATTCCGCAGCTACATGACTGCTGTGGTGGGCACAAACACTCCTAGGCCTATTTTTGCACTCCTTTTTTTTTTTTTTTTTAATTTTCCCGTCACACATGAGATGAATCGAATTAATATGTTGACCCTATCTCATAAAACTTATATGTTTCTTTTGGACTTCATAAAATTTACATGTGACATGTCGAAATTATAATAAATTTTTTTGGTTAGGTATGTCAAATTATCAACATTATATTATATCTTTATGCGAACAAAAATAAATTAATATTAAAATTAATTACAACCGAACTGTATATTTCGTGCATAGGGGAACGGAAGATAAAGCACCTGAAGGACAGTCAAGAGTATACCACTCGAACCTCTGTTCAGTGGGCTAACTCCAGATGTTTAGAGTCATAGATGAGGGTAAATTAATCAAAAAATATGAAAAAATGATGAACTAATGTGACACTATAACAGTTGTGCTTTTTATGGTCCATTTGGTAACGGAAGAAGCATGAAAAGTATGAAACTTTTCATCATTCAAGTAAAGAGTAATTAATTCACTCATTTGTGTTTGATAAGAAGGATGAAAAATATAAATGAACGTTTTTTTTTTTTTGTGTTTGATAAGATAGAGAAAGTTTTTTGGAATTTTTTTTGAATTTTAAATTTTAAATGTTCATTAAAAAAATATAAATACATATTTTAGCATTATATCTATATATAAATCAATGTATACATAATTTGTAATCTATATAATAAAATAACTTACAATTCAAATCTCAAAAGATAAACAAAATAATTTTTGCTATTTACGATTGAGATCGTTTTAAATTTTATTTTAAAATTAATCTAACGGTTAATATTAACTCCTTAACTTTAATAGGAAAAATAGATCCCTAAGGGGTGCATTTGAAGTGATTTTTTAAAAATAATTTTAGAAATTATTTTTTATAAATACTTTAAAAAAAATTATACTGTTTGAAACTGTCCCACCACTACCTCTACTACCACCCCACCACCGCCGCTACCACCACCACCGTCGCCACCACTACTACCTTTGCCACCACCACCGCTGCCAATACTACCTTTACTACCACCACCGTCGCCCTGCCACTTCATCTACTGCTACCGCTACCACCGCCGCCACCGCCACCACCTTCATCGTCGCCTCCACCACCACCCCTACCACCACCACCGCTGCCACCAACACCGCCACCCGCCACCAACACCACCCCCACCCACCATCGTTGTTGCCACCGCCACCGTCATCGATACCACCATCGACATCATCGTGGCCACCACCACAATCGGCGTCGTCGCCACCATCACCACCACCGCCGCCGCCACTGCCATCGGCACCACCATCATCACCATCACCATCGTCGCCGTCGCCGCCACCACGGTCATTGTCACCCACCACAATCATCACCATCTCCTATCACCACTACTGCCGCCCACCACCACTCACCCACACTAAAAATCGACACTTAAATTACTTTATCTTTGTGATTTGATTTTGGATATAAATACAAATATGTTTATTGTTTACCATTTTTTATTACTTTGTGCCTTCAAACACAGGTAATAACTAGTTAATAAAAATGATATAACATACATTTCAACACATATAATTAACTTTTCATTCATTTTTCCTCCCAATTTTGGAGGATTGATTTTGGTCAATTGAAAAGAAATTTAATTCATCCATTTTTTCATAATTCTATTTTCTTTCCTTACCAAATATGATATTTTATCTATTCTTTTGACTTTCCATCCTTCTATTTTTTTATCGTACCAAACAAAACATTAGTCTCATTTTTAGTCGTTTAAGATTTCAAAAATTGCCCCCTATGGCAGCATTAGATCATGTGATCTCTTTTTCATTCCTCTTTTTTTTTCTCATCTTTTTTTGTCAATGTATGTTGTCTTAAAATTACAGAAACTTGTTGAACAACCAAAAGCTTTTTACAAGTTCCTATAACGTTTATACAGCCTGTGATGATGCACAAAATTGTCTTGTGCAAAATCAACAGTCAAGAAGGTAAATAAGTGCAATCAATGAGCAATAAGCAATCAATGACAAAAGTAGTAAATAAGAACTCAGAGATTTATAGTGGTTTGGTCTTGGATGACCTACTCCATTTTTGGGAATAACAGCGGTGACCAGTGTTTTTTATTGATGAGTGATGGTACTCCGGAGAGTTACAGTACTTTGAGAGAGAATAAGAGAGAGCAATGTGTATAAGAGTGGTTGTAGAGGTTTTGGAGGCCTTGTCCTCAATGTTGAGAGGATTTACATTATATAGCTAGGGTAAGATAGTATAGGCGGTGACGTGAGGAAAAAGAATTATATTGCTTTGACAAGTATTGCTATGGTAGGAGATCTTCTATGTCAATCTCCATATTATCTTCTCTCGTGCTCCTATTCATCTAGAGGAGAACATTAATTGGATTGAGGTTGACCCTCGTCTTAGACTTGGACTTTGTCTTGAGTAGGCTTGGATTAAACTCGAATTGGAGTACCAAGGTGAAGAGAAACAAGAGGAGGGGCACCCAAGGGGGTGCCATGGGAGGCGCCCAAGGGCTCCCTCGTCCTCCTCTTGCTTTGGTCGTTGACTTTTGGTGCTATCCTCTTGGTGTCTTCCTCAATGGGTTGACATTGGACACTTCTTTGAACTTTCTCGATTCATTTAAATTGGGCTTGGCCCAGTAAAATCCGGACTCATCAGCTTGTAAATTACATGCATCAGCTGATCCAACAGTTCTTTGAGGGAAAACATGAACATCATCTCTCGATTAATGTAAGGACAAGAAAAACAATGAGATTGCTTGCCTATAGCCGCCAATATTATCTGCGTATGTTTGTGCATGTCTATATGTGTGCATGTGTCTATGTTTGAGAGAGAGAGAGAGAGAGAGAGAGACTCCAGGATTAAGCACATAACAGCTTACAGAATTTTTCTTCTTCATGATAGAGAAATATTGACAGATGACGACTCTCACACTCACCCTCGTCCCATTACTGTAAAAATTACAAATGTACATAATTAATGATAGACAAAACAAACATGTAAACTTTGAAAAGCCAAGCAAAACAGAGTTCAGAAAATTACAAGAGAAGAAAGGATAGATGAATACAGAGAATAAAGAATAAGCAATTTGTTTTTCCTTTCATATGTAAACTTGTACAAAAGACACACTTGATCATGAAACCCCGTCTCTATTTTCAAGGTTTGATTGTCTCTGCTGGCGGTGCTTCTTCCTCCTTGGGTGGTTCTGTGGAGGCTGGGGCAGCCTCCGCTGGTGGCTCTGTTTTCTCTGCAGCCTCAGCCACTACCTCTTCTTTCTTCTCTTCTTCAACCACTAACTCCTTCACTTTGCTACTTGTTTCTGCTGGAGCCTCCTCTTCTTTTTTCTCTTCTGTAACTATAAATGTTGAGACCTTCTCAAAAACAAAGAAAATTGGCCCTGGAACCAAAGGTGCTCCGAACTTTGCAATTGCTTTGGAAACTGGTAATGATCCCGGAAAATCTTACAAGCAGGCAAATAAAGGAGATGGATATAATTTAGTACTATAAAACCTTATAGCTTCAAGGGAAAAAAATTATAATGCTAAATGATATAGAATTAGAACCCTACCGATTTTCACGAGCTCATCAAGGAACTTCTGAACTGCAGCCGAGTTCTTCTTCAGTCCGGCGTCGTTGGGTTCCTTCACCAAGGTCTGTTTTAATTACAAAAGAAAAAAAACTCGTGTTACTCATCTTCTTTGCTTTGAATTGATCGTTTTTTTTTCCGCTGTGAAAAAAAAAATGATTGTTTGTGTTTAGATAGAATATGAAATAGAACCGCAACTTTCAATTCATTTGGATAAGTTACTACTATTAAAAAAATTTACCACTGAAGCTAATACTGAAAGAGGTCACGTTAGGACAAAAAACTACTGGAATGGATAGGATCAATCCTAAATAGCCTTATTTTGTAAGAATCTCATCAGATTTAGTTATAACTTAAGGTAGTTTAACCGGTGTCTATATGTAGTCTGCATCTTCTTTTGATGATGCTGTTTTTGTTTTTCTTTATAGTTTAAATGGGTTTAATATGGATTTCATACAGAAGGAAACCTGACCTTGACAACAGTTGATGAAGCCTCATAGATTTCAACAACTTTTGGTTGGAGTTCAGTCTTTTTCTCTTCAAACACCTTACTGTACTCCTCCTGGATGTAATAAGAAAACAGATGAGGTTAGTTAGTTCTAAGTTTCAAGGGTATTAAAGCAAAAAAAAAAAAAAAACACCAAAGTTTAACCTTAGCGTCATCGAAGGACTTGCAAGCTTCAGTAGCAGCAGCCTTCTTGGCACCGTTCTTCTCAAAAACCTTCTTGATCTTTGGAAGAACCTTTGATTGCCAGTAACCCATCTCTTTCTTTTCTCAGTTCACCAACTTAGAAGTCAAGTGGTACCTAAAAGCAACCAAGCAAACACGATTACATGCTAACATTAAAACCAACAACAGATACGCATAGTACAAATAGATCTTTGTAGGAAAACAGAAAAAGATAACCATATGGGCATAAAATTTTGTTAGCTTCGAATTCAGAGGAAGAAGGAAACAAGTTACAAAATAATCTGTTAAAAAACATATGCTATTGAAACATGAAGAGGATCGAATCTCTATCACTTACTTGAAAATCTCTCTCTCTCTCTCTCTCTCTCTCTCGTCTCCCAAAAATAAAGTGGACCTCAATTGGAAGGCAACTGTTTTGTAGCCAACTGCGCTTCCAAATGAAGGCAAATATGGAGCTCTGGAAAGTCTAAAGCGTGTCAGCAACATATTTTGTTCCTTATTATGTCAATGGCCACTTATTCATTCGTAACTAACCCACACTCCAATGCCGATTTACTTATATTACCCTTCTATGTTAGATTATATAAGACCATCTTCAATGAAAATTTATACACTTACCTAAATTTGAATAAAAAAAATGATAAAAATTTGATTAGGTATAAACCTCTTTAATGGAGAAATTCAAATTTAAAAAAAGAAAAATTTAAATTTAAATGAGGATAAATCCAAATTTAAAAGAGAGTAAAACTAAAACATAATCATTGGACCTTTAAAGAATGATAAAATTTCACTATTAAAGATTTTGGTTGAATTTTGAATTTTCTTTGATTTGAATTTAAAAAAGAGTTTTTCTTCATTTGATATGAGAATGAGTCTAGTATTATAGAAATATTTTAAATTTTTTTTACCTAAATTTAAATTTAAATATAAAAAAAAGGTAAGGGTGTTACTCTAATGTTGGAAGATTCAAGGCCATAACCGTCCTTCTAAATGATAATAACAGCTTGGTTGGTTTTGGAATGCTTGATTGATTGATGGGTGAAATTAATTCCTTTCGTTTTTAAAGGGTTGTATTGTATTTCTTTTTGAAGTTTTTCTTAGAACTTATGTAAATAAAGCTCATATACATGACGCTAAACCCTTTGAAGGGGGAAATGTTAAACAATGATGAGTACATAAATAGGTGGAGAATCTTAGGGGTAGAACAGTAAAAGATCGACAGCTGGCAACCACCACATTCATATCATAATTGGGACCCCCCTCACAGCCGGGATGGTGATCTGTAACAAACGTTCCTTTCTCACTTGAACTTCACGACTTCTCACGTGGCCTCGCTGGTACAACCAATCACGCCGTCAAGGACCCCAATTATTGAAATGCCCTGCATCGTATTTTCATTTTTCAAAGATTGCCATTCAATCATACTTATATAATGCGGACAAGTACAATCAATGTTGATGATCCATCCCCATGTTCCTCCTCTTAAAACTTGAAAATTGAATGGGCTGTTCTGCTTTTAATGTTCAGACTGATTGTTCGAATGTTACCAATCTTGCTCGCACATGACTACGAATACATTTCTAATTTTCTTATTTAATCGGCTGACTTGAACCCGATTAACTAAAATAAGAATTTACTAAACACGATTTATATATAACACTGCACCTGATTATACAGGAATAAATAGATTTAACCAATTTTGACAAGATGTAAACTCAAAATGACATGACTCTCTGCCCTACTTGTGAAATTCACTTATATATAATTGGTCCTACTTAAATTCATCGTACATGACTTATTATCAATAAGTGGATCACATTCCAGCAAATACGGCCGGTATTACAATAATTTTGTGATTTAGGGAAAGAACAAATGTGTTGGAGACAAGGAACATGCATGGTTTAGCTAATGGTGGGGCTTGAGGTTCATGGACTAATTTGTTTCGGAATATTTGGTTTAGTGTGGGGATCAGATCAGATCATTGGTGACTGTGCATCCAAAGGGAATGCATTTTTGCTATGTGGAGGCAAACCTGGCAAAAGGAAGATATATGACATACCCTAATGATATCCTTCAACGGATTCTCTATTGCAGGACTTAATTTGTGAATTAGTTAAATGATGTAAAATCGTAACTGACGGAATCCATCTGGATAGTTGGATATTAGGTGGGTTAATATCTCGAGATTGGGTGTTTAAATTTCAGTTCACCCGATGTGTATTATTTGTCGTCTTGTAGGTGATTGTGTGCTTTTAAAGTTTAAATTGAAATCATTTAAAAAAAAAAAATAGTTAAAATTATTTCCCAATATGTATACCTACTAACTATGCACTGCAACATTTTTTTGTTGAAACATTTAATAAAACATATAAAAAAATGTAATAATGTAGCAAATTTAGATATTATCTTATATTTATCATACTTAAATTATTTTTATTTTTTTCATAACTATAAACATTCAATAGACTTATTTTCTGTGTTGTTTATTCAAGCTACAAAATAGTAAAAGTTATAAATTTTTCTTTTTGTGTTCTTTTTTTCTTTGTATTAACAAACTAATCATGTTAAGAATAATATGACAATTTAAAAGTTTTATGAAGATAAAGAAATTTACATGATTTGTTCAAGATTAATTTGTTATTTAAATACATAGAGATATAATGATAATTTAAGTATTTAAATAGGACGTGTCAGCCTTTATAATTTTTTATAAGAGTAAAATAGTAAATTAAAAATAATTTTATTAGTAGTAAGCATAGATATTTATACGTCAGGCCCAGCTCAACTATGAAGCAATTCCTGAGGGCCCCATAATTTTTTAGCTAGTCATACTCCTTTTTTTCTCAAGTCTTTTATTTTCATTTATCCACAATAAACATTGTTCTTTTTTCATGATATACAAAGTACTTTTTAATCTATATATTATTTTGTATAATCCTCTTGATCACATTTTTCAGTAATACATTTCACTTTTGCATGCTAAAATCTACTAATAATCATTTCTGTAAGACTTTTCAGCTTTATTATAAGCCATAAATAGTTTAGTCATTTCGTTGGTCACTTAACATCTGTCTATTTAAAGAATATAGAGTAAAAGTTTATCTTCTACCGTATACTCACATTCAACATCGAGAGAAAACACATATCTTGTACTCACTATTTCTCTCATTATTTGGTCACTTGAATATATAAATTTAATAAGCAATTTTTTTATCATAAAAAACAAAAGAATGATTTTTTAAATAGAATGTAGGGATGGTACATATATCCTACTTATTTAAAATTTCCTTTGGGCCTCAATTTCACTCGAGCCGGTCCTGTTATAAGTATATAACTTTATATGAAATAATGACACAGAGAAAAAAAAACACCTAAATATATATGCCATCTACATTCTTATTTATCTGGGAAAAGTAGGAGCTCCATGATTGAGCTCTTTACGAGAAATAAAGATCAATTTTCTAGAAAATAATATATAAAATGGTTTCGTAGTTTAACATTGATTAGAAATGTACACAATAATCTTGGAGTAATATTAGATAGACTTAAAAAGTAGATTTAATAATCTCAATCATTGAATAGGTAATAGGTCCCAATAAATATTGCGACTCACAGTGAAATCGATAACTAAGATTATTAAATTTAATTTTTAAAACTATTTTTTAAGTCCATGTAGTATTACCCATAATCTTGAAACAATCAAAGTTAGAGAGACTACGACAGGTTTGAGTTTTTAGACATTGCAGTATACCAGATAAAATGGTGGTCCGAAGACAACGACAAGAGGAAGAGGATAAGCCTGGTTAATTCTGTATGAATCCCAGCAGAGGGTGAGAATGGAACAAGCAATGCAGTACAAAACATTCTTGAAGGTGGGGAAAGAAGGAGCAGCTTTAGTCCCCTCTCTATGAGTTGGGATGCAATCGTGTGTCATCTATCCATTATGCTCATGCAGCAAGCCAAATTCGTAAAATACAAATTCAGATGACGTCAAAAAGAAAGGGATGTCTCTGTTATAATATGCAAAACTCCAAGGATCCCCTAATCGATTCTCGAATTTTTATACTTGTTTTTTGTTGTTTATCAGAACTCCTTCAGTGTTGGTACAATTTACCAAAAAGAAAAGATTTTTTTTGGTTCTTGCTCTTTGTAGAGCTATTTCCATATTTCCAGGTTTATGGTATTCGTGTTGGGTGTGAAGAAACTGGAAACAACTTCTCTCTCAACTGTTTACAGAGTAGTGATCACTATTTATCTCGTAACAACTGTAACAACTTTGTAGCTTTGGTCCAGCATCAGTGCATTTATGTGTTGATGATTGTTACTGTTGATACCATCAGTGCATCAGTGATTAATAGATCCCTGCAAACTGATGGTAGGAGAGGAAACCAACAGTTTTGTTTTAAAATGCCCGAATTTTGTTGAAGAGGGACCATTGGTGAAAGGATCCGCAAGTTGATCTTCACTGGCAAGTCACAGAGTATCATTCGAATCCATGAAAGTTTTGTTGTGGTAATGGCCAAAGCGCAATACTCTGCTTCAGTTGAAGAGGGTGCAACTGTGGCTTGCTTTTTGGTTGCCCAGTGAATAGGATTGGAGCCCAGAAAAATGGAGAAGACCAGTTGTTCATATGCGGTCATTAGGGTCCCCTGCCCAGTTCCGCGTCCATGTGAGCAATAACATTCAAGTTGCCTTTAGTGTTGTGTAAACCAAGAGAGAAGGTAGCTTTTACATTTCGAAGAATCCATTTGACAATTGCAAGTTGTAATGTTTGTGGAATTATGCATGTACTGACAACATGGTTAATAGAAAAGGTTATGTCCCGTGAAAGTTAAATATTGGAGAGCTCCAATTAATCAGTATGATCTGCTAGAGGTGTGAATTTACTATTAACCATCAAAATCATGAAAGCATAACTAAGATATCATTAAAAATATAAATATTAATCACCAACATCATCAAACTATACAAAAATCCCAAAATAAACATAATTCAACTTTCAAAGGTTACATCCCAAACTTTAATTAACAACAAAAATGTTAAACAAAATCATTATCTCTAATAAACTAGAGAGCAATCATAAACATTGTTCCAATTATCAAGCTAATAAACTAAAAGCCAATATTTTTTTTTTTAATAAACTAAAAACCAATAAACAACTCTTTACGCCTCCAAAGTTGAATCGTCCTCTTAATTTGCCTCAATGTACAAGTCTACATACTCACCTAGTGTCACACCCTAATTGACTTGGGTGCAAATGGCCGGCCTTGGTGGCACCTTGCACCAAGACATGCCAGAAATTGGAATCAAGGTGACGCGGCTAAGTGGTTCGACAGATTGGGGCG